AATTGTTTAGATTAAATATACAAACAACATATGAGGCTGAAATTATTATGCATTTATAATAGTGTTCATTCTCATGGGCTGGTCAGGAACGGGCAGGGTTTATTAAGCATGCAGTCCACTTGAGCTATAGTTGAGAAGGCACATGATCTAGTAGATGGAATTTAGGAACTCCAGAGTTCCATTCTTTGCTCTGCCACTGGCTTCCTCTGGGTCAGCAGGGCAATATACATGTAGGTTACTTGAGATAGTGTATACCTAGTTACACAACAGGAGTGTTTTGGGGTTTGGCTAACTACATCTCAGGGCTGGGGCAGGGGATTGGGGTGAAGGGTGTGGGCTCTGGGAGAGAGTTTGGGTGAAGGAGGGGACTCTGGGCTGGGGCAAGGGGTTGGAGTGCAGGAAGGGGTGCGGGGTGTGGACTCTGGGAGGGAGTTTGCATTTGGGAGGGGGCTCAGGGTTGGGGCAGTGGGTTGGGGGGTGGGGTCCAGCCAGGTGGCACTTACCTCGGGCGGCTCCTGGGCGGTGGTGCAGTGGGGATAAGGCAGGCTCCCTTCCTACCCTGGCCCTGCACCACTCCTGGAAGCCGCCGGCATGACCCTGTGGGAGGGGGAGGGGGGCAGGGGGATCTCCGGCCAACAGGACCTGTGGAGTCGGCATTCGGGGTGGGGGCAGCGTGTGGAGACCCCCTCCCAGAGGCTGCAGGGACATGCCAGCCACTTCTGGGAGCGGCGCAAGGCCAGGGCAGACAGGGAGCCTGCCTTAGCCCCGTTGCACTGCTGGACTTTTAGCGGCCTAAAATCTCCCTTTTTGGCTTCAGTAGTGTCCGGGAGATAGAGCCTGATTCTGGGAGACTCCTGGCAAAAATGAGAGTGTTGGCAACCTTTCGTCTAGCTGTAGCATTTCAAGTGGAGACAAGCTCTGAGCCCTTCATTTCTGCCCAGGATGCTCTTGGCAGGGCTGCCGGTTAGAGACCAATGGAGTCTTTGTGTTCTTCCCCTCCTCTTTACTTGACTCAGCCCTTTTATATTTCAATAGCATATTATCATACAAGGCATTTCTTCCCGTCCCTCAAGTGGTGTCCCTGGGTGCCTTATGACATGTCCACTCTCTGCATCCCAAATACCAATAGCTAGCTTCAAACTTATCAGAAACCTACCACTAGCCAGAGGCTGACTGACCCTTCAAGTAGGGTCCTGGGGAAGCAACCTGGTGTAATAGCTTCGCTGTTGTGTGTGCCCCTCCTACTGCACTCATCTGTCACATTTACCTGTGTCTAGAGTAGGGGACTAATCCATTTTTGGTAAATCCAGCAATGCTGCTGTTCAAAGAGGGCTCTCTAGGAGCTATTTCTACCTCGCTGGGTAGGACCTGAGGACAGTCTCCTAAAGTTGCACAATTGTAATTATGTATATCTACACAGCCTGCTGCAACAAGCCTCTGAATCTGGGTTGACAGACTTGGGCTTTTGGGGCTTGCACTACCATGCTAATAATAGCTGTGTAGAAGTTGCAGCTTGGGCTCTGAAGCCTGGGCATACAGGTGGGATTCAGAGACCAAGCTCCAGCCTGAGCTGCAGCTTAAAAGCACTGTCCGCACTGTTGTTTGTAGTGAGAGCCCCACAAGCCCAAGTCTGTTGACTGGGCTCAGAGGCTCACTGCTGCTGGCTGTGTAGATCAGCAGTGCCCAAACTTTTCCTCTCGTGCCTCCCCCTACCAATAATGGAATGTGTCCTGTCTGCACACCCCCCCCCCCCCACACACACACACGCCCCGGTGTCTGAGAGCAGAGTTGTGGCAGAGAGCAGGGACCGACAACCAAACCATGGCAGGGAGCAGAGGCAGGGCAGCAGCCAGGGACTGGGAGCGGAGCTGGGGTCACAGCTGGAGCAGAGCTGGGGGCAGACCAGGCCTGGATGATGCTCCCTCCACACCCTCCCATGAGGGCTATCCTGGGCCCCACTGCGCCCCACTGGACAGGCACACCCCACAGTTTGGGGACCATTGGCGTAGAGGTATACTATGTGAGCTCAGTACTTAGTAAGGCTGCAGCTGGGCTAGGGACATGGAACAGCTTTATCTCCTGAGGAGGCCCCCTAGAGAGTGGGCTCATAGCTGGAGTTGGATTGGTGATTTCCCTACAAAATAGTAACTTATCCTGCCTCTCCTGGAGCATGCTAACAATTATCTGACCCTAACTGAAACCTGTTCACCCCAGACGTGCCTGTATTTCAGTAGTAGGCAAAAGGACTTCTGTTTCTACAGGGTTTGATCCCAGAGTCCATGTGTAGCCAGATCTCCTATTGACTATAGCCGGAGTGTTGATTGTGCTGTTAGTTACTAGAGTCTGCCATCTCAGGGTATTGTTAGATCACCAGCTGCTGTTAATCAAACATAGAGCAACAGTTCCTTGACTTTAGCAAAGCTTTTGACATGGTCTCCCACAGTATTCTTGCCAGCAAGTTAAAGAAGTATGGGCTGGATGAACGGACTATAAGGTGGATAGAAAGTTGGCTAGATTGTCGGGCTCAACGGGTAGTGATCAATGGCTCCATGTCTAGTTGGCAGCCGGTATCAAGTGGAGTGCCCCAAGGGTCGGTCCTGGGGCCAGTTTTGTTCAATATCTTCATAAATGATGTAGAGGATGGTGTGGGTTGCACCCTCAGCAAATTTGCAGATGACACTAAACTGGGAGGAGTGTTAGATACGCTGGAGGGTAGGGATAGGATACAGAGGGCCCTAGACAAATTAGAGGATTGGGCCAAAAGAAATCTGATGAGGTTCAACAAGGACAAGTGCCGAGTCCTGCACTTAGGACGGAAGAATCCCATGCACCGCTACGGACTAGGGACAGAGTGGCTCAGCAGCAGTTCTGCAGAAAAGGACCTAGGGGTTACAGTGAACGAGAAGCTGGATATGAGTCAGCAGTGTGCCCTTGTTGCCAAGAAGGCCAATGGCATTTTGGGATGTATAAGTAGGGGCATTGCCAGCAGGTGGAGGGACGTGATCGTTCCCCTCTATTCGACATTGGTGCGGCCTCATCTGGAGTACTGTGTCCAGTTTTGGGCCCCACATTACAAAAAGGATGTGGAAAAATTGGAAAGAGTCCAGCAGAGGGCAACAAAAATGATCAGGGGACTGGAACACATGACTTACGAGGAGAGGCTGAGGGAGCTGGGATTGTTTAGCCTGCAGAAGAGAAGAATGAGGGGGGGATTTGATAGGTGCTTTCAACTACCTGAAAGGGGGTTCCAAAGAGGATGGTTCTAGACTGTTCTCAGTGGTAGCAGATGACAGAACAAGGAGTAATGGTCTCAAGTTGCAGTGGGGGAGGTTTCGGTTGGATATTAGAAAAACTTTTTCACTAGGAGGGTGGTGAAACGCTGGAATGCGTTACCCTGGGAGGTGGTGGAATCTCCTTCCTTAGATATTTTTAAGGTCAGGCTTGACAAAGCCCTGTCTGGGATGATTTAGTTGGGGATTGGCCCTGCTTTGAGCAGGGGGTTGGACTAGATGACCTCCTGAGTTCCCTTCCAGCCCTGATATTCTATGATTCTATGAGTTGCCAGGAAAACACTTCTTCATCTATATCTGTCCCAGATCTTGTTACTGTGTGTTTCGGATGTGGGGAAGTCTACCCTTATCTGAGCCTCTGTCATGTTAAGATTCGATTACTGCGCTGTACTGCCCTTTACATACAGATGTGCCTTAAACTGATCTGGATACTGAAGTTGGTGCTTATTAAGGAGCATATCTTGCTGGGAGCACATGACATCCGTGACTCTGCATGTCGCCTGTTGGTTTTGGAGTGGCGTTTAAGGTGTTTGCTGTCAACTATAAACCCCTAAATGGCTTGGTTCCTGCTTATAGGGCTTTGCATTTCTCCTCTCCTGGGCCACAGCTGTGGTTAGTGAAGGTGCCTGAATTGAAGTCCCCTTGGTTTAAAAGAAAAGGAGATGCTGACAAGGCATTCTCTTTGAGGGCCCTTGACTTTGGAACTTATTCCTTGTGATGCTTCTTGGGGGTACCCAGGGTTCTGAGGCATCTTGCTACCACACGTCCTTAAAGATAAGTTACGCTGTCAGCTTGCTTCCTCTGTGAAAGATCCAGGGTGTCTGTCTGTACACACAGACATCTCAGAGGAAACCATTGTCCTTGTTCATAAGCAGGACATTCTCCTGTTTGTTCTTTTTTCCCCTGTAAACTCCTTTCTTGTAGACTTTTCCATCTCTTAATCGATATCTGGTTCAGTATGAATAGGCCTCCATTATGGAGTGGACAGTACAGATATGACCAGACGGGGAGGTTTAAGCATCTGTTACGTCCTGCCTGGAAGGAACCTGTCCGAGGCATGTCACCTTGATCTGCCTTGCCTTAAGAACATTATTTTTAGTATAGATACATAACTTCTTAAATATTATAATCATTGCAAAATGTATGCAAGGATGATGACCATTAGTAGAGACCTTACATGTCACCTTTGGTGAAGTATTAAGTATGTGCCTTCTGCCAATTGGCATCAAGAGGCCCCTGAGTCACACTCCTTCACCACCCAGGACTGAAATAGCCTAGGTCTTTGGGGAGGGAGGAACATAAGGGCTGGTATTTGTGGATGACAGTGTTTGATTTTTTATCACTGGTTGTTTTAAGGTTAGGGAAGTTCTTGAGTTATTTCTTTTGTGGCTGTATGTGGCATTTATATGAAAGGCGCCTGGATCCTCAAACAAATGGTTTTAAAATACTTGTTATAAGTAGAAATTTAATAATAAGGAATCACAGGATCAGATCCTATACTTCACACAATCTGTTAGATCCTAAAGCGCCTTACTATGTGGTTGAAAGGAAGACACTATATAAATGTAAGAAAATTACTTTGGATGCATGAGACCAGATGTGCAGTAACTGTTACTGAGATTTCTTGCTATGTGTACAGATAGTCTTTTAAAGAATCTTCAGTTTTTGCAAGCTTTTTCCTTAATTGTTCCCTTTCTGTTCTGGCTTTAGGCTGGATTCCCAGTGGGCATAGATCTACGAACACGAGTTCTTCAGTTCGTAGAAGACAGAATGCAAACTACTATGGTAATATACTATTTTCATTGATTGGATGCAAGATAAAATGTGTGTATAAATAGCCTCCTGTGTGTTACTTCTCAGGTACAGTCAGTACTCCTGGGGGAATTCTGTGCCAAAAATAGAAAATTCTGTGCACAATATCTTAAAATTCTTTAAAATTCTATGTATTTTATTTGTCAAAATAGCACAATATAATTACGCTGGTTTCAATTATTTTGGTAATTTACTTGTCAAGAACTATGTCTGTAACAGTACAGACGAGGAAAAAAAGATTTAGGAAATGTTTTTGACAAATAGATTCCTTACTGGGAATATTAATACAGAACTTTGAGTAATAACTCATTTAAACGACAATTTAGAAATGCATCTCCTGCACCCCTCAGAAGCAGTGCAAAGGCTTGGGGGAGTTGTGGGTAATGGAGGAGCTGAGGGAGAGGGAAGTAATTGCTCGGAAGCAGCCTGGGACTGAACCTGAATGGTTGGTAGGTATGGGTGGGAGAAGTATGAAACAGGGCTTTTTTGGGGAGAGAGATTGTTAGGGAGTTGGGGAACCTCCCCCATGCTGACCCTGGCTGTCCACTAGCCTCTCCCATTCAGTCAGGCACATCTGCCCCTGTCCCATGTGTCCCTGCACTGCCACTCAACCACAGTTCCACCACCTGTCCCCATGTGTCCCTGCACTTTCCTTCCCATGCACCCCCTCCCCTGGTCCCCATTTGACCCTGCACACCCCCACCCCCGGTTTCCCTGCAGCCCCACTCTCGTTTAGCCTTCGCTCTAGTCTGTCCCTCGCAACAGCCCCGTATGCCCTGCTCTGTCTGTCCCCCCAATATCGCATCTTCCTCACCTGAACTCACAGCCACATTGCTATGAGAAAACCAGCCTCTGCTCTCTCCCTATCAGCTGCTGGCTGCTACAGTGAGCTTGCTACCCTCTGTTTTGGTTCCACAGCAGCCCCTGTTGAGTGAAAGATGCAACTGCAGTGCCTCTCTGACAGAATGTATTTTCTGTGGAGAAAAAAAAAATCTGTGGGGTACCTGAATTCTGCACATGTGCAGTGGCGCAGAATTCCCCCAGGAATAAGTCAGAGCTTGAGTGGGTTATGTGATCTCACATTACTGCAATACATGAAGTGGAGTTTTCACCCCATGTGCTACCTATTTATTCAACTCATAGGTCCTTCAAATAGAAACAGAGGATCCCAGGGGTATGTGTGTGGGAGGGAGACTGTGCAATTGTGTAAATGTTGCAGTACTTAGTTATATCACAGTTGGGTCACTTTTTTTTTTTCCTTTTTTTCAAAATGAGGATTTCTGAACATGCCCTGAATTCCACATTCACACCTTGCTGAGTGTTTGCTGTAGGATTTAGCAAAATTTTAAGGAATATTTTAATTATTCACTCTTTTTCCTAACCTCTCCCCACAGCTAACTGGAATAGTAATTGGAGCTGCAGTGGCATTGCCCCTTATAGGGATTTTTGTGTTTGTCGTTTACAGAAAGGTGAAGCAATCTAGTAAGTACTCAACTTGCTACACATGCTTTAAAACAGAATCTTCTCAGTGGAATTCCTTTACCCTAATATTTCCTTAATGTAATGTGATGGAGCCAGTGCTTGTTCTGGAGGTAATGATTCAAGCAGGAAAACAGCCTTAAAAGGACACAGAAGTTTTGTTGCATTGCTGATTGTGTTAACTGTCCAAGTGTCTGCAGTGTTCAGGAAGCTTAAAATTAGATGGGTTTAGTTTCTTTAGCATATAATAAACTCCATGGCATCACAATCAATATGTAAATAACTTGGTGTAATCAGGAGATGTCACTGAGTTTGAGTGGGACAGAGGTGAAAATTGGGGGCATCCCTGTGAGGGACAACTGATGAATCCAGTGCACAGCTATAGAAGGAGCCCAAATCTTTGGGAGAGAGGTGAAAGGCCCTTCATGGCCTTTTAAAAAATTAAATTTATAACAACTGCTCCTTGTGTATTGGAGACATGTTAAGTTCCTTCTTCAGCTGTCTGTTTTTTGGCCTGGCCTGTCGGAGCAGAAATGGCATAAATGAGACAACATGTGGTGGATCAGAGTCCAAATTCTAGACATCATGTCTCCATGGCCATCAGGGGCTGAAAGTACTATGGAGGCAGTATCCCTGGTGGCTGCTGGGAGGGCCCTTAGTATGGTTCTTGGGCCAGCTTGGGGGCTGTTGTCAGGCTCCAGAGAAAGTCTGCTGGCTGGATTCTTAGCCCTTGTCTCTCTTGACAGATCTAGAACTCATTTTCCTTCTCAACTGGTAAACATTCCTGAACGTTGCAGTGCATTTCCCTTCTCTGCTCTCCCTGCTTTGTGTTGAAACTTAGTGCGATAAAATTTACTAAATGCACAAGTGAGGGGTGCCTCTATCAAAGGGAAAAGCAGAAAAACACCATAGATTACTGCTGTTCTGTAGTTCCACTGTCAGGCAGTGCTGACAGCCCTTGGTCTCTTTAACTCCTCTTTTTGATTTCCCTACTGTGCAACTCCCGCTCCCAAGAGCTGTCTGAGCTCATCAGAGCTTCTCAAAGTATCAGAAATGTTTTTTCAAGAGTATTAAAAACAAAAAGCAAGCCTTTTATCACCTCGATCACGAGGGTGAATGTGAACTGGACAAATCTTTAACATCTCATGCAATGTTGCTGACTTTAGGTGAGTGTTTTTTCACTGTTTGAAAATAAGGCAGAGCTGGGAATGATTTTTGGGCTTGATGGTTCAGGGGCTACATGGGAAATTCGAATTTCCCTTCAGTGAACTTCAGCTGTTTTATTTTCCTGCATCTCCTTCTGGGCTGTTGTTATGGATAGGCAACTGTCATTGTACATCCTTATGCTTCAGTAGTAGCCATGTAACCAACATAGGCGTCGACTCCATGGATGCTCCAGACCCACGGAAAAAAAATGGTGGATGCTCAGCACCCAACGGCAGCACCCCCCACCCCCGATCAGGTCCTTCCCCTCCCCCAGTGCTTTTCGCCTGCCAGTGGCCTGGCTGATCAGCACTCTTCTCCCCTCCCCCCTGCTCAGCACCTTCCGCCTGCTGGTGATCAGCTGTTCAGTGGTGTGCAGGAGGAGCTGGGGGGAAAGGGGGCGGAGTGAGGGTAGGGTGTGCTCGGGGGCGGAGTTGGGGTGGGAAGAGGCAGGGTGGGGCCTGGGGTAGATCTGAGGGGGAGTACCCCCTGGCACATTAGGAAGTCGGCACCTCTGGTGACCAGCATTGATCTGCCATAGCTGAGAGCTTTCTCTAGCATCTAACCATAGTCTGCTAAAGGACTCTGAGAGCATAATTGCAGTAAGCATCTTTCTCACAGACCCTGTAAGAGCAGGGCCTGCTCTAGATAAAGAAGAGCTTTGGAAATGGGAATGGTTCCTAAAATCGCCTGCCGCAGATGGCATGACTGGCAGTTGTTCAGCACTGTAGAGATTCTGCACCTATGACGTTAAAGCTGCTTGGAAAGTATGAGTGAAACATATCCTTCAGGGAGTAATACTTAGAAATCCTAATGTGTTCAGAGCTCTACCTCTCTGGGGTGGGGATGGTGAGAAGAGACTTCTGGGACTGTCCTTATTTTCTGTTCCTCTCCTCACTAAGTGTTATGATGACCTTCTCTTCTGGGAAATAAGCACTTGAATTTGGCTCCCTTTGGTCAGTGCTGCTTCCAGGACTGACTAGGAGAAGCCTCACACTCTGACTTCCCTACCATTTGTATTTTTTCTATCTCCATAGCAGTTTTTGACCCCATGATACCTACAATCAAGGTTCCTTGGAATGCATCCCATAATCAACTACATTGTGAGGCAAAAGTAACACAGGGTTAAATCAGTCCACTGACAGCTTGAACACAGGTAGCTCATCATCCAAAAAGAGTGTTTGGACAGAATAGGTTTCTTTCTTGTCATTCATTTTAAATTGTACTGACAAAAAGGAGTGGGGTTTTGGCCTAGTCTCCAACAGGAAGAAGTTGAGTTTCACATGAATTTCTGTTAATAATGTAAGTTGGATTCCAACTAGTGAGCAAGGTCAATGCACCTGCATGCTCCTCTTTCCCCTTGTTACAAACTATCTGCAGAGTTATTTGATGATTCTTTTGTGTTTCAGGACAACCTCAGCCACAAGTGCCTCAGTACAGATTTCGCAAGAGAGACAAAGTCATGTTCTATGGGCGGAAGATCATGAGAAAGGTAAGTACACCTAATGGAGAGGGAAGGGAGAGTGGAAAATAAAGATTAAAATCCAGGAAGATAAATGTGAACTCCCAGATGCCTGACCTGCTTACCCTGGTTATTAGCCCCAGCCCCCTGCATTTTTTCAGACGAGAAGTCTCTAATATGTTGGGTTGGTCATCCTGGATCATATGTTTTGTAGTCAGTATCCTGTTAACAGGTAGTGGGTAATGCCTGATGTTTCAGAGCAAGTTCCTCTTTCCCCTTGGAAAGAATGCACTTGTCTAGTTTTGCAGGGCTGTGTGTGGAAGGGAAAGATTCCTTCCTAACTCTTATGGTTATCTCCATAGCTGTAAGGAACAGTCAGCATGGATTCACCAAGGGCAAGTCATGCCTTTCACCTTTTCACCTAGTTGCCTTCTATGACGAGATAACTGGCTCTGTCGATGAGGGGAAAGCAGTGGACATGTTATTCCTTGGCTTTAGCAAAGCTTTTGATACGGTTTCCCACAGTATTCTTGCCTGCAAGTTAAAGAAGTATGGGCTGTAAGGTAGATAGAAAGCTGGCTAGATTATCGGTTCAAAGGGTAGCGATCAATGGCTTCATGTCTACTTGGCAGTCAGTATCAAGTGGAGTGCCCCAAGGGTCAGTCCTGGGGCCGGTTTTGTTCAATATCTTCATTAATGATCTGAAGGATGGTGTGGATTGCACCCTCAGCAAGTTTGTAGATGACACTAAACTGGGAGAAGTGGTAGATATGCTGGAGAGTAGAGATAGGATACAGAGGGCCCTAGACAAATTAGAGGATTGGGCCAAAGGAAATCTGATGAGGTTCAACAAGGACAAGTGCAGAGTGCTGCACTTAGGACGGAAGAATCCCATGCACCCCTACAGACGAGGGACCAAATGGCTAGGCAGCAGTTCTGCAGAAAAGGACCTCAGGGTTATAGTGATGAGGAGCTGTATATGAGTCAACAGTGTGCCCTTGTTGCCAAGAAGGCTAACAGCATTTTGGGCTGTATAAGTAGGAGCGTTGCCAGCAGATGGAGGGACGTGATCATTCCCCTCTATTCGACATTGGTGAGGCCTCATCTGGAGTACTGTGTCCAGTTTTGGGCCCCACACTACAAGAAGGATGTGGAAAAATTGGAGGGAGTCCAGCAGAGGGTAACAAAAATGATTAGGGGGCTGGAGCACATGATTTATGAAGAGAGGCTGAGGGAACTGGGATCGTTTAGTCTGTGGAAGAGAAGAATGAGGGGGGATTTGATAGGTGCTTTCAACTACCTGAAAGGGGGTTCCAAAGAGGATGGCTCTAGACTGTTCTCAGTGGTAGCAAATGACAGAACAAGGAGTAATGGTCTCAAGTTGCAGTGGGGGAGATTTAGGTTGGATATTAGAAAAACTTTTTCACTAGGAGGGTGGTGAAACACTGGAATGCGTTACCTAGGGAGGTGGTGGAATCTCCTTCCTTAGAAGTTTTTAAGGTCAGGCTTGGCAAAGCCCTGGCTGGGATGATTTAGTTGGGGATTGGCCCTGCTTTGAGCAGGGGGTTGGACTAGATGACCTCCTGAGGTCCCTTCCAACCCTGATATTCTATGGTTCTGTAGTGACCAGTTTTATAACCTGAGAGATGAGACATGATTGCCCAGGTCTTAACGTGTATAAGTATAAAACTTCACTAATAGTTCCTAAACTATCCAAAGACCCCCTTTCTGTCCCTACATTTTAAAATCCATTTCAAGTGTATGACTTGGTGACCTCCTGAGATCAATCTGTGTGTGAAGTTTATTTTTTAAAACTAATGTATATGTTGTTAAATGCTGAGGTAGAGAGAGAGAGTTTAAAATGAACAATTCAGTTTCTTTGAAAAATACTCCATCCTTGTTTCTATTTTTAGGATTCTCTCTGTTTGTGGTCTTTTATTTTAAGCTTCTTAAAACGGAGACAGAAAACTAGTTGTGAATTAATTTGAAACTTTAGTAAGGTAAATGGAGATTTGTATTTAAAATACTTTTACACTTATCAAAAAAATGAATGAATAAACTTTTGTGTTGTCCTTAACATTCAAGCTCCTTAATGGGGCATGCATTTTAACTTGAAACTTACACGTACTGTTACATTTGGAAATAAGATAATTAAAATTACTTCATCCTTCATATGAAAAAAACTGCTAAGACCTTGGTGTGATGGTTTATTCTTGATGTCTGTTTAATCCAATAATCTTCATTAACACCTATAACAGCTCCTTACCCTTTATGTGTAAGTGATGGCAGAGACTCTTGCTATCTTATTTTTCCAGGTAATGTGTGCTTTATTTTTTAGTTCTAATCTGAATACCGGCTTGGTAAAAATGGCATTGTGGGGTTCCGTGATTGTTTTATCTCTAGGACTATGTAATCAGTGCATGAGGTGTAAGATAAATCAGGAAATGCAGAAATTAAGATTCTAACAGATGCATTACACAGGCTTTCTTGTAGGTGTGTGTATTATGGTTTTTCATGTAATGACATAATGGATAATATATTGCAATAGCCATTTAACAAGGAATAGAAAATGTGACATATGGGCATTGTGGCTGAGATCCCATTATTGTAGGAATCTTGGAGTTCTGACTTCCTTTAACTCTGCTATCTAGTGATCCTGTATCCAGAAAGTCTGTATATGGGGGACAGAATAAATGTCTGGAGACCTGATGAGGAGGCTAGAGGTTCCATGTTACTTATTTATTATTTATATTACGATAGTGCCTGGGTGCCCCACTCATGGACCAGGACCCCATTATGGTAGGTGCTGAACAAACCCAGAATGAAAAGACAGTTAACAATCAATTGAAAAGTGTGTGTGTCTGGGCAAACAGCATGTGTGTGCAGTGTGCAGTGCATCTCTAGATAGGCAAACGCTCAGGCTTGGTGCTGATTTCTACTGCTCATGCCCACTCTGCAATTTTCAAAAGTTCCTGAATCTTAAGTTCCAGACAGACTTTATTCAAGCTGAATTGTAAATGGACTCTTCAGTGACTCTTTGAGTCTGCATGCCATATTTCAAGTTTAAAAATTCACCTGTTTCCTGTATGGCTAAAATTATAACTGTAAGGTTTTACACCACGTTCAGAATGTGCATTCAACCATACCAAATTCAAAAATGGCTGACTGGATTGTCCTCAGACTTTTCACACACGGATCAAACATGAGCACTTCCATCACAAAAGAATTTAAAAATAAAAAAAACACGTGAATGAGGAAAACAAGATAATAGTGGAACTGATTTTCAGGCAGAATGGTAGCACTTGTTATTAAATGACTCCTGTTATATTTGCAAACAAATTGCCCGTTTTCATACGGAAGTTTTCAGTAGCAGCAACATCCAACTTATTACTATGACAGGCTCTGGGTAAATCCACTCTTGAATGAAGTTCTTGTTAAGCTGTACTTAACATCTTTGTGTGTTTTCTGCATCAGTGATGTTTCCATAGACTGCCATTTTGAGACGCTTTGCCAGGATTTGCCTTAGAGCTGCTTAGCTGCCTGTCTTTGGCGGTTGTTCTATTTCTGGTGAAATGCCTGTCTGCCATGACATGCCTCTCTTGATCTTTGCAGTATTGTTTGTTGCAAATGCCAGTTCTTGCTGTCTCACCATGCAGGACTTCTCAAGAGACTGGAGCGATTTCTTGCTTTGTTCATAGGGACGGTCCAGGTTTCTAAGCCTCATTCCATTCCTGAAAGGACATCCTTAGCCAATTTGGCAAATATAGATGTTCATTCTGAGTTCAGTCTTCCTAAATGCACTTTGATCCCAATTTTGTTCTTCTGTTGATTTCTTCAAACCAGCCACTCTTTCTCCAGAACATGTGGTGGTTTTGTTTTCTTTTTTCTTCCCCTACACTGGGATGGAGCGAATGTCGTATTGTTTCCTATTGACAAATGTACGTAAAGAGAACATCTTGATTTTGAAGAAACAGTTTCCTCTCTTAGTAAAGAATGCAATTCAGTTTTTTCCGTTTTTGGCTTACATTTAGGTTAATTGTGTGGTCTTCAACAGGCAAGAGAAAGCTTAATGTCCATATGACTCCATGCAAGGGGACATGGGAGCTATGAAGAAACAATCTGACTAAATACAGTAGGAATAACTGTTTGTAAAAAAATAAATATATGATGGGTGGTCTGGTAGTGCTGTCTGACTAACACTTCCCATTGTAAGATCTGGTTTTGCAGTTGCTTTTAACTTTACCATACTTTCATTGTTTGGGCTGAAGTTTTGGAAGTTGGGTATTCAGTCATTTCTGGGCAGGAATCTGGGGAAAATGTGTTGTTTTGCCTATGTTTTTAAAAAAAGAAGGCAAAAAAACCCTTCCAACCCTTTCACTGAGATGCTCATATTTGAAGGCATTTTGTATTCATATGATAAAATCACCTTTTCTTTTTCTTCTGGAAATTTAGACCTGTGTTTATTTTTATTCTTTGTCTGAAGGTATAAAGCAAGTGAAAGATACTAGTTTCTGTCTGCTATACTTCTGGTAAAGTTAAATTGCTGAGTTTCTGATTTTATGATGCTTGGAGATATTGATGGCCCAGAGACCCACTTGTCTGTTGATGGAAGAGATGAGACAGAGTCTGAAAATTCTCATTACAGAAGCATATAATGGAATTGAATTTCCTGAGGGATAAACGGGATATTTTAAAAAAATTAAAAACTAGGAAGTTTTCTTGATCTTGCAATGTTTTCATTCCTCCACTAAGTGGCACTCCAGTTACTGCATTTATTGTGCTATTTAAGTATTAGGACAGGTGTCCTCATTTATATATTTCACTAAAATGTATAAGTCTGTTCTTGGCATTGATTAAGTGTATCAGGCCTCAGTGCATCAGGATTAGTGATTGCCAGACTAATATTTACACTTTAAAAGATTACTTCTATGTTTCTGGTGCTTGTAGTTCTTGGTCAGAAATACTCTGAGGTTATTCTGTATCTCCCATCACCATTATATTAATTGCTCACTAAAAAGTACAGTGAAACTTCTCTTTAAAAAGAAAATGCCATGATGTAGCACACTGCCCTAGTGCTCATGTAGGTCCTGATCCTGCAAAGCCTTACATATGCACTTAACTTTACATGGATTCCAATGGTACCACACATGTGTGTGACTTTGCAGGATCAGGACCTTTAGAGGGTGTTGGAATTTTCTTGAAACAGATTTTTGTTTTGTTGTTTCCTGTAGGTGACAACTCTCCCAAACTCTCTGGTTGGGAACATGGTGCCTCGTCAAAGGATGCGGAAAAGAGCAAAGGTTTTGTCTTTGGCTAAGAGGTACAGTTACATTGTAATGGAGGTCCTGTGCATTGCTGTGGTCGTGTATAGGTGCAATTAACTTTATGCAACAATTGTAGGAGTTCTAGTTTGGCTCCTGTGGTACTAGGGGTGAAGGACTCCTATTTGTTTTGTAAACTTAGGCCTGGTCTACACTACGAGTTTAGGTCGAATTTAGCAGCGTTATTTCGATTTAACCCTGCACTCGTCCACACGACGAAGCCCTTTTTTTCGACTTAAAGGGCTCTTAAAATCGATTTCTTTACTCCACCCCCGACAAGGGGATTAGCGCTGAAATCAGCCTTGCCGGGTCGAATTTGGGGTACTGTGGATGCAAATCGATGGTATTGGCCTCCGGGAGCTATCCCAGAATGCTCAGTTATGACCGCTCTGGACAGCGCTCTCAACTCAGATGCACTGACAAGGTATAGAGGAAAAGGCCCGTGAACTTTTGAATCTCATTTCCTGTGTGGCGAGCTCATCTGCACAGGTCACCATGCAGAGCTCATCATCATAGGAGTCCATGCAGTCCCAGAATCGCCGAAGAGCTCCAGCATGGACCGAACGGGAGGTACGGGATCTGATCACTGTATGGGGAGACGACTCAGTGCTGGCAGAACTCCGTTCGAAAAGACGAAATGCCAAAAAGTTTGAAAAAATCTCCAGTGGCATGAAGGACAGAAGCTATAACAGGGACCCGCAGCAGTGCCACGTGAAGATTAAGGAGCTGAGGCAAGCCTACCAATAAACCAGAGAGGCAAACGGTCACTCCGGTTCAGAGCCCCAGACATGCCGCTTCTATGATCAGCTGCATGCCATTCTAGGGGGTGCAGCCACCACTACCCCAGTCCTGTGCTTTGACTCCGTCCAAGGAGTGGGAAGCAAAATGGAAGCGGGTTTTGGGGGCGAGGAAGATGAGGAGGAGGTAGCTCACAGCAAGGAAGCGGGGAAACCGGTTTCCCCAACAGTCAGGATCTGTTTATTACCCTGGACCTGGACCCAGTACCCTCCGAACCCACCCAAGGTGGGCTCCTGGACCCTGAAGGCAGAGAAGGGACCTCTGGTGAGTGTACCTTTTGTAAATATTATACATGGTTTAAAAGCAAGTGTGTTTAATGATTAATTTGCCCTGGCATTTGCGGCCAGTACAGCTAGTGGAAAAGTCTGTTAAGATGTCTGGGGATGGAGCGGAAATCCTCCAGGGACATCTCCATAAAGCTCTCCTGGATATACTCCCAAAGCCTTTGCAAAAGGTGTCTGGGGAGGGCAGCTTTATTTCCCTCCTCCATGGTAGGACACTTTACTACGCCAGGCCAGTAGCACATAGTCGGGAATCATTGCAGAACAAAGCATTGCAGCATATGGTCCTGGTGTTTGCTGGCATTCAAACAACATCCGTTCTTTATCTCTCTGTGTTTCCCTCAGGAGAGTTTTCAGAGTAGCAGCCATGTTAGTCTGTATCCGCAAAAAGAAAAGGAGGACTTGTGGCACCTTAGAGACTAACAAATTTATTTGAGCATAAGCTTTCATGAGTCCACTGAATGCATCTGATGAAGTGAGCTGTAGCTCATGAAAGCTTATGCTCAAATAAATTTGTTAGTCTCTAAAGTGCCACAAGTACTCCTTTTCTTTTTCCTCAGGTGAGTGATATCATTCATGGTCACCTGGTTGAAATAGGGTGGTTTTAGTAAGCGGACACTCAGAGGTGCCTGTTCCTGCTGGGCTGTTTGCCTGTGGCTGAACAGAAATCTGCCCAGCTGTTAGCCACGAGGTGCGGGGAGGGGGAAGCCATTATCCCAGAGAATTGTGTGTGTGTGTGGGTGTTTAGTTGGGTTTCTGCTGCACGTGAACCCAGAAACCGCAGCCCCTCCTTTTAAATGGCCAACCCAACGTCTATTTTGTAGGGGAAATGAGGGCGCTGCTGTTTGAAACCATTCCCACATGTTATGAAGGTTAAAGAAGCCAAAAGACTGTGGCTTGCCATGGCTGCCTGCAAGTGGAAATCTGCTGCGTGAGTGATCTCTCACACCAAACCAGCAGACCCTCAATAAGAGGCAAAATGCAACCTTGTAATGAAAGCACATGTGCTATGTAATGTTAACAGCAAGGTTTACCGTGAAAGAGTCGACCCACTGTTCTATAAAATGTGTCTTTCTAACTACCACTCTCCCTTTTTTTTCCCTCCACCAGCTGCATGTTTCTCCTTCCCAGAGGCTAACTAAGATTAGAAGGCAAAAAAACCGCACTTGTGATGAAATGTTCTTTGAACTCATGCTGTCCTCCCACACTGACAGAGCACAGCAAAATATGTGGAGGCAGACAATCTCAGAGTGCAGGAAAACACAATATGACCGCGAGGAGAGGTGGCGGGCTGAAGATGGTTAGTGGCGTCAGCTTGCTGAAAGAAGGCAGGAGTCAATGCTCAGGCTGCTGGAGGATCAAACTCATATGCTCCAGTGTATGGTTGAGCTGCAGGAAAGGCAGCAGGAGCACAGACTGCCGCTACAGCCCCTGTGGAACCAACTGCCCTCCTCCCCAAGTTCCATAGCTGCCTCCACCCGGACGCCCAAGAATGCGGTGGGGGGGCCTCCGGCCACCCAGCCACTCCACCTCAGAGGATTGCCCAAGCAACAGAAAGCTGGCATTCAATAAGTTTTAAAGTTTTAAACTTTTAAAGTGCTGTGTGGCCTTGTCCTTCCCTCCTCCACCACCCCTCCTGGGCTACCTTGGCAGTTATTCCCCTATTTGTGTGATGAATAAATAAAGAATGCATGAATGTGAAGCAACAATGACTTTATTGCCTCTGCAAGCGGTGATTGAAGTGGGGAGGGGAGGGTGCTTAGCTTACAGGAAATTAGAGTGAAACTGAGGGAGGGGGGGCGTTTCCATCAAGGAGAAACAAACAGAACTTTCACACCGTAGCCTGGCCATTCTTGAAACTGGTTTTCAAAGCTTCTCTGATGCGCACCACGCCCTCCTGTATTCTTCTAACTGCCCTGGTGTCTGGCTGTGCGTAATCGGCGGCCAGGCGATTTGCCTCAACCTTCCACCCCGCCATAAACGTCTCCTCCTTACTCTCACAGATATTGTGGAGAGCACAGCAAGCAATAATAACAGTGGGAATATTGGTTTCACTGAGGTCTAACCGAGTCAGTAAACTGCGCCAGCGCACTTTTAAATGCTCAAATGCACATTCTACCACCATTCTGCACTTGCTCAGCCTATAGTTGAGCAGCTCCAGACTACTGTCCAGGTTGCCTGTGTATGGCTTCATGAGCCATGGCATTAAGGGGTAGACTGGGTCCCCAAGGATAAGTATAGGCATTTCAACATCCCCAACGGTTATTTTCTGGTCTGGAAAGTAAGTCCCTTGCTGCAGCTGTTGAAACAGACCAGAGTTCCTGAAGATGCAAGCGTCATGTACATTTCCCCGCCATCCCACGTTGATGTTGGTGAAACGTCCCTTGTGATCCACCAGTGCTTGCAGCACCATTGAAAAGTACCCCTTTCAGTTTATGTACTCACTGCCTTGGTGCTCCAGTGCCAAGATAGGGATATGGGTTCCGTCTATGGCCCCACCACAGTTAGGGAATCCCCATTGCAGCAAAGCCATCCACTATGACCTGCACATTTCCCAGGGTCACTACGCTTGATATCAGCAGATCTTTGATTGCGTGGGCTACTTGCATCACAGCAGCCCCCACAGTAGATTTGCCCACTCCAAATTGAATCCCGACTGACCGGTAGCTGTCTGGCATTGCAAGCTTCCACAGGGCTGTTGCCACTTGCTTGTGAACTGTGAGGGCTGCTCTCATCTTGGTATTCTTGCGCTTCAGAGCAGGGGAAAGCAAGTCACAAAGTTCCATGAAAGTGCCCTTATGCATGCGAAAGTTTCGCAGCCACTGGGAATCGTCGCAGACCCGCAACACTGTGCGGTCCCACCAGTCTGTGCTTGTTTCCCGAGCCCAGAATCGGTGTTCCACGCCATGAACGTACCCAATTGACACCATGATGTGCACATTGCAGGGGCCTGTACTTTGTGAGAAGTCTATGTCCATGTCCTCATCATAGAATCATAGAATATCAGGGTTGGAAGGGAACTCAGGAGGTCCAGTCCAGCCCCCTGCTCCAAGCAGGACCAATCCCCAACTAAATCATCCCAGCCAGGGCTTTGTCAAGCCTGACCTTAAAAATATCTAAGGAAGGAGATTCCACCACCTCCCAGAGTAACACATTCCAGTGTTTCATACCCTCCTAGTGAAAAAGTTTTTCCTAATATCCAACCTAAACCTCCCCCACTGCAACTTGAGATCATTACTCCTTGTTCTGTCATCAGCTACCACTGAGAACAGTGTAGATCCATCCTCCTTGGAACCCCCTTTCAGGTAGTTGAAAGCAGCTATCAAATCCCCCCTCATTCTTCTCTTCCGCAGACTAAACAATCCCAGTTCCCTCAGCCTCTCCTCAGAAGTCATGTGTTTCAGTCCCCTAATCATTTTTGTTGCCCTCTGCTTGACTCTTTCCAATTTTTCCACCTCCTTCTTGTAGTGTGGGGCCCAAAACTGGACACAGTACTCCAGATGAGGCCTCACCAATGTTGAATAGAGGGGAACAATCACGTCTCTCGATCTGCTGGCCGTGCCCCTAAGTATACATCCCAAAATGCCATTGGCCTTCTTGGCAACAAGGGCACACTGTTGACTCATATCCAGCTTCTCATCCACTGTAACCCCTAGGTCCTTTTCTGCAGAACTGCTGCCCAGCCATTCGGTCCCTAGTCTGTAGCGGTGCATGGGATTCTTCTGTCCTAAGTACAGGACTCGGCACTTGTCCTGTTGAACCTCATCAGATTTCCTTTGGCCCAATCCTCCAATTTGTCTAGGTCCCTCTGTATCCTGTCCCTACCCTCCAGCGTATCTACCACTCCTCCCAGTTTAGTGTCTTCTGCAAACTTGCTGAGGGTGCAATCCACTTCATCCTCCAGATCATTAATGAACATA